GCTTTCTCAATTTTCTTTCTCCTGTCAAAGCTTTATGATATCAGATGCTAGCTTTCAATTAGCTAAGCGATTCTGTAAGCGGGGGTTGTTCAGCTGGTTTGGGCCTTATGGCATCCTGTGTGAGCTGTGGCGCAAACAAACCGACCTTAACGATCATGCAGAGCTTTATAGAATTTTCACCATCGGGAAATGCGATTTGATTGTCTTATAGGGCTATGCGTGATCGCGTAGGTATCTGACAAGGGAAGGACGCTTGGCCGAAGTGGAGCTTCCATGTGAAATGTATACAGCCTTATAGTAACCTTGGCTCCATTTGATTACGGACTAAAGTTCTGATGATTTTATTGTACCAGGGCTTCATAATTTTGCATCAAAAAGTTTCCATAAGTCCTATCCCAGAAGCTCTTTGCAGATACCGAAAGCAGGTTCGAAATAAGCGTTCCATTCTCTATGCAATAATAAATTTTATATGAAACGTCACTTCGACCAAGTATTCTTCCTTTGTGAGACGCGGCCTTCACGTAGGATGCCACAAGGCGAAAGCCTAAGCAACCCGTACTTTTCGAAATTGCTTGAGCTGATTGAAAGCCAACATTTAATAGCGGAAAAGCGTTTGAAGAAGGACGAAATTGAGAGATTTGATATTTGAGCAATGGCTGCAGTGGCCGATCTTCACGAAAAGCACAGTCTTATATCTTTTAGACTGTATGACAGTAGCGACAAGGTTTCCACTTTGTGCTCTGGTGAAAAAATGACTTTTTTCTCTGAATTATTGCTATATGTTGCCGAAAGGGAGATCCCCGCGGACATCTGCACAATTGCGTCCTAATACAGGGTGTCCCAAAAAATGTATCGAACGTTTGATCTTCAATGACTTCCCTATATGGAAAGCTTTCGCGGATTTTTGAGCGCCATGCGGTAGAGCTGGGTTCAACTTAGATTTACAGTATAGAGCGAATCATCTATCGCCTTTCATTACTGTAGGATTACGGCACGAACTTCGACAAAGAGATTTTAGGCTATTGGAGGCTACATTCTGCCTCGGAACGAGACCAAACAAGCCAAAAACCCTTATACTACGGTAATGGGAGCCGCTGATTTCGGATTTGAAATTCCCATTTTACTGCCATGCTTCTTTCCTAAGTTATCCCCGGTAAATCGTAGTAACTCAATTCCCAGATTTGCCAGAAATGTAATTACACCGTCAAAAAAGCCGAAAACACTTCTAAAAAGTTGTTAGGTGGAATCAGCATGCGCGAAAACCCTAGTACACTCTTTTTTAGATTTTTTGGAGAAAATTTTGTTAGGTGGTGTATTTCACATTGGTTCCATATGCTAAAAGTTCGTACCGTAATCCTGTAGTAATGAAAGGCGATAGATGATTTGCTCCATACTGTAAATCTAAGTTAAACCTGGCTCTACCGTATGACACTCAATGATCCGCGAAAGCTTTCCATGTAGGGAAATTATTGAAGATCAAACGTTCGATACATTTTTTTGGGACACCCTGTATATAGGGCGTTCGAAAAACTGTGACGATGGCGCGACCGCGCCCGATACGCGCACTCCCGGCAACCGCATTTTCTTAGTTTCCATCTCTACTCGAGTGATTTTTCTGCTTACATATGATAGTATTTAGACGTTGAAAGTGGCTGAGCTAAGGGCTGAGGTGATGCCTTTTTGCTTGTGTGTTTTCTGCTCCTGAGGAGTAAAGACCGCAGCCAAATCCGTTGTCACGATTTTATGGATGATCTATACATGTGAGGGGTGCCTAGTTGTTGCAGATGTCCGCGCGGGAGCTTCGGCGAGAGATAGTCCTTTACCCGTTAGAATTTTTTGAAGTTCGGTGCGAAATTATGGACAAATATTGCCTGCGGTGCACCATATTACCACCTTGTTCATAACCGTCCCAGTTTTAGGGACACATGCATTAATATCCCCGGATTCCCGCAGGGGGGGGGGGGGGGGGAAGGGGGCTTGAGAGAAAGATTCCTATTCTGAAGCTCACATTTGTATTTCTCGCTCTACCCATCCTCAAGTATTTCTACTACACCTTATTATGACGTGTTGAACAGGAGCGAGAAGTTGTGCAAGTTATAGAAGCCGCATTTTCCAGCTTTTTGTATATTCCCCCGATAATCCCCGGCGGCCGACGTTTTCTTTTCAAAGTTCGTTTTTCTTTTTTCAGAGTCAATGAAAACATTCCAAAGTTGTACTGAGCATCTAAATTAACAACGCTACGCAAATTTTTGATAAGAACAATTGATGTATCGAAGTCATGAAAAAAGTTATGACATAAATTGAAAGTTGAGGTTTATTGAAAATCTCAAAATTTTAAGAACTCAGTTGTGCTTATAGCACTGTTATGTTAGATAACAAATGCAACTCTGGAATGCTTTCGTTGACTTCAAAGAAAGAAAAATGACTTTGAGTAAAAGGCCGTCGGCCACCGGGGTTGTTTGAGGATCATACAAAAAGCAAGAAAGTGCGGTTTGTACAACTCGCTTATGTTCAATAAGTTTAAGATAAAGGGTAGTAGAAACACTTGGAGATGGATAGACAACGAGAAATCTAGATGCCCAGAGCTCTTTCGAATGCGTTTCCCTCCCCAGTGGGAATGTTAATACGGCCCTTAGGCTTTGGGTAGAGTTCACGCGATTTCATCGTCTCGCGATTCTTCAAACAAGACATTAGCTACGAGTCCATTGCATGACGATCATCTTGCATTTCGGTTGTGATAATTAGTCACGTAGTCCTGTTGGAAAACCATCACAACCGAAATGCAAGATGATCGGCTTGCAATGAACTCGTAACTGTTGCGTTGGAGAATCGCAAGGGGAATCACGTGAACTTTGCCCGAGGCCTTGAAGCGATACTTTTGTTTTCGGCTTTTGCTTTGCCTTCATATATCCACAATCCCCAGTTTGCTGCCCACCTTTTCGAAAACATTTGAACCATATACTCCGCTGGTCGTAAAATGTCGTGCTAGTTCCTAGATTGGCCGCGGCCGCGTGAAAGAGTTGCCATTGGCTTGTGTGTCTCATTCCTCAGAATACCTCTTCCATCCTACTTGTTCTTTTTGAGGATGCACCCATTATTCGCATGATTCCCGCTATATTCAAAATTTCCTTTGAAGCGCGAAAACATCCACAATTTTATAGTGACGGAACGCTGATGACCACATGAGAGCCTACATTTTGCGCCCCTTCCAAACTAGTCAAAAAGGCGCTGACGGAGCGGAGCAATCGTGGAAATCGGAGTGGTGAGTGCTTACTCATCGAGTTCTTCAACTAAAGGTGCGCGTTTGTGCGCTGCATGGAAATGGGAGCAGCAAAATTCACTGAAATCATAGGATTGGCATTTTTTATTGTCAGTGATGAGTGGCAAAGCAGCCTGTCACCTATGACTTCTTCCCAAAACCCTTCCAGTTTATCATCTGCTCTACGGTACCATTCATGATTATTGCAAAACTTGCATCGAAGTTTACTGCTGAGTCCAAGGGCCTCACTCAACTCACTCGGCGCTTCTAAGAACTGTGAGAGAGTATTTTGTACCCATTGCATGATGTGTCCTGATGCTTATGTTATCACAAATTATGGTATTGATGGTGTTCATCTGAGGTAATGCTGCTTCGCCGCCTTCCGTAATGACCTTCACATCAGAACTCAACGGGGAAAATAGATGTCTCATTTCGCGAATGTATCTCATCAAGGAAATGAGCCAGAAAACGCTTCAAAACGGAGAAAACCTTTTGTGGTCGGTTGATTTGGCCACTTCCATCACTTCATTTTTCACGAGTTGTATAGCCTTCCAAAAAACTTCGGCAGCTTCATTGCTCAAACCTGAAGATCGACCCTTTGTGATGTCGGTATGTTAGTTCAGTAGTGGCAAAAATTTCCCTAATTATCATCGAGCTGACTTACATATCTCAAGGCGCATGGCGGCATGCATGAACAGAAAAAAAAACACTGACAGGCAAAGCTTCATAACCTGAAGCTCGTTTTGGGTCTCACTCTGTCCATCCATTTTCAATTTTTCTACTGCCCTATAAACATATCGAGAGCGCATTGTGTTCGAGCCGTCTTTTCCAGCTTTGTGTGGTCTCTTATAATATACAGCAGTCGACCGTCTTTTTTGCACAGTCTTCTTTTCTACCAATGGAAACATCCCAAAGTTGTGTTAAATATCTAACAATAAGCCAACTGTACTAAGCGTGTTTTTGACAAGAACGGACGAGTTGTTAAAATGTTGAGATTTTCGCTAGACTCAAGATTTCGAATTGTAGTTTATTGAAATTTTCATTGCTCTATACATCATCCCCATTTTCCATGCCTTTCAAGTGAGTGGGGCTCAAATTTGTCGCTTTGTGTCTCTCCTGGAGACCTCTCGTGACCTTATTTCAATGACTTGTAGAATAAAGTTTACTCTACTTGCGCTGTCGCAAAATAGTTTGCTGTGAATAGCTTACGCTATACCAGTAGGAAATGAAGCTTACTTGATTACCTAGTGCAATTCATTTTTGGTCTGCATTACTCTCGAAATCTTTTCAATAGCTACGTGGTGTGCCTGGATTTTCTCACTATCGAAGTTTCTCTATAATATAAAATGGGATTGCTGGTTGTAATTAATTACGAATCAACCGATTACAAAGGATTCTACTGCGCATACACAAATCAGAATGAGTCCATTTAGAAGGCGGAGAAATAGGCGGAACCGTCTTCCTTCGAAGTTCCCCTGCAGGTGCTAAGTATTTCTGCAAGGAAAGGCGGGCTTTGGGAACTTTCGCTACGCCGCCAATGCTGTAGATACTAGCCAAAGTCTGATTATGCCATAACTTATAGATCGTCTCTGGAAAAATAAGAGATAATAAGAAGGAAGCTTTATTGTCACTGTTATATTTACAAAGGTTATTGAGCTCTTCAAAAAAAAACGTTTGTATAATACATCATGCATCCAAGTACTAAATTCTTGTAAGAATATCGTTATTGTATGCACTAGAATTACTTAAATCTTTTCGCTGGACCATGTTCCTCTTTTGCTGTTGCGCAGCGTTTGCCCTTGGCACGCTGTGTTCGCGAGGAAGCCGCGCACGTGCGGCCTCTCTGGGTAGCCGCACACGTGCGGCTGCCACGTGCAGCTGCACTTGCAGCCGCACGCGTGCCACCGCCCCGGACAGCCGCAGAAGTGCGACTGTTTGGGGCGGTCGCAGGCGTGCGGCTGCCCCGTGCAGTCGCACGGGGCAACCGTGCAGCAGCACGTGTGCGGCCTCCTCGGAAGGCTGCACATGCGAGGCCCTGCGCGTATGCCATCATCCCCGAATCAACGAACGAACCTGAAATAATCATTGGCACCATTATCCGAATCATCACTTGCACTGGCAGATAATTCTCTACGTTTCCAGATCCAACGTTACGTCAAAAAACGTTACGAGATTCTCACTTTTTTTAATGTGGCCTTTATTCGGGGTACACACGCTCTTCCTCTATGTCCATCAGTCCCTATTTATTTGAAGTGGTTTTACTTCTATCAATCAATGGAAAAACATACTACATCGGAAGGGCATATCAGTATTTCATCAAGCAACAATTGAAAGCAATGAAGTTGACTAAAACCGTTCAGTCCAAGTTTTACTTGAGAGAATAAATTTGATAAGTGAAAGCGGCATTTCCTAGAAGAAATATATTCTTGAAAGAAAAAGCTACTTTGCCTTCTGCGAAGCATTTTACTGTTAGGAGTTACGAGCATTTTGGAGCAAAAATTTGGAATCTTCACGAATGAAATAGAGGTGTAAGTGTCAAGGTACTCTATAATGGGCGGCACTGTCCAAGACCATAACTCAAACCTGGATTCACAGTAGTGATTAAGATCAACTCAAAATCGCAAGCTCCCAAAATTTCTGCCAGCAAGAAGTGCTCGAAAGTCGTTCACAAATATCAGATCGACATCGCCCGGTAGCGCCATTTTCTGGGATGTTCTAGCACAAGGCGATTTGAGCAGTGAAAGTCCCAAGATGTTCAAGATTTTCTCTGCGAGCTCTTTAGCGTACACATTAATAAATGTCTAGCACCCGAAGATGTCGAAACCGCGTCGGGTATACAGGGTGTCCCAAAAGTAAGTACCCTATTTTCAGGTCAGTGGCGTACCCAGGATTTCGGCTCGGAGGGGGCGCGACAAAAATTTTTTTCTAATGAAGGTGCGTGGCGTTAGCCACGCACTCCGAAAAATTTTTTGGGGTGCTTCTCAAAATTTTTGCGGGTCCCCAACCCCTAAAATCTGGAAAAAGGGGGCGTGGCGTCAGCCACGCCCCCGAAAAAATTTTTTTATAAAGCTAAAATGAATTTTTAAAAAATTTTAAAAATTATTTTAATTATTTACAAGTACAGACAAGTCATTTGCACAATTTTATAACCCATATAAGTAACTTTCAAAAATTTCGCGACCCGTTCTCGGGGGGGGCGCGCGCCCCCCCCGCCCCCCCCTCGGTACGCCACTGTTTCAGGTGTATAAGCCGCACCCTTTTTGCTCTAAACGCGAGCAGACCCAGGCTTGCCGCCGCGCATATGTCTCGCGAAGCGGTCGCCTTATCGCATACTGCTCTCACTTAACGCGCCCCATCGCCCCATCGCACTTAACGCGCTCCATGATGACAGTCAGTCTTTTGGCGTGTTCGCCTTTAGAATGAAAAGGGTGCGGCTTATACACCTGAAAATAGGGTAACCTTTGATTCAACTGGCTTGGCACCATTAGGGCGGGGTTTTGTGACGTAATTAAGGCCGCTCGCGTCCGCGACGCACCTGCGTCTCTCTCGCGCGAGTGCTCTCTGATTATTGCCTAGCCTTAATTAGGTCATGAAGCCTCGCCTTTGCCGATGCCAAGCCAGTTGAATCAAATGGTACACACTTTTCAATCGTCAGTATCTCTTTTTCCAATGCGTTTTCTTCTGCCATTCAAGTACCATTCTGTAGTGGAGGCTTCAACTTAGATTTACAGCATCGGTCGGATCACCGATCGCTTTTCTTTACTGTAGGATTACGGTAAGAACTTCTAGCATGTGGAAACATGGTGAAATATGTCACATGAGAAAATTTTTTGCAAAAAATCTGAAAAATCGTGTACTAGGGTTTTTGCGCACGCCAGTTCCACTACACAACTTTTTGCGAGTGTTTTCAGCTTTTCTGACGGTGTAATCACATCAAGACAAATACTCGGGATTCATTCATTACGGTTTACCTAGGATAACTTTGGAAAGAAGCATCACAGTAAGTTGTAAATTTCATATTCGAAATCAGCGGCTTCCACTACCATAGTATAAAAGTTTTTGACTTGTTTGGTTTTGTTCCGAGGCAGAATATGGCTTCCAGTTGCCTAAAATCCTTGTCAAAGTTTCTACAGTAATCCTACAGTAATGAAGAGCGATCTGTGATTCGCTTGATTGTAAAAATCTAAGTTGAAGCCTCCTCCAAAGAATGGTACTTAAATGGCGGAGAAACACACAATGGGAAGAGAGATATTAACGATTGAAAAGTGTGTACTTACTTCTGGGACACCCTGTATATTATTCCTTGATCGAGCGGAAAAGAATACAGCACACAACCAAAGTCATAGCCGTGTTGCATGCTGAACAGCCCTGAGAACAAAGTTTCGCTTATTTATAATTTTGACGCACTCTATAGTCACCATGATCTCAAAAATGGCTTTAACGCGCAAAAAAGTTAACAGCACGCCAAATAATTTGGGGCGGATTCAATATACTACCATTTTCTAGGAATTCTGGATATGTGACGGTAGTCTTGATTCTAGTCGCATATTCCATTTGCCCTAAACGCTCCCAAGTTCTGACTGCTCACATTCGTGTCTAGGATAGAAAAACACCAGGGTTGTTCAAAATGGTATACATGAAAGATCTCATTCGAATCATCTATCTTTATCTTGTGAGATTTGGCGGTGCTGTTTGAGGAAACTGTAGCTTTGTTTGACTGTGTGACACGAGATGTTATCTCTTTCTAAGAGCACGTGATGGTCCGGAAAACGGAAAGTACTCACTCATTATATTCTGATACTGGCTCGAAGTGAAAAATCGTCGATACATTGGCTCCTTCTTTGGTCCTCAAAGGTGTTTGTACTCTGACCATTAGTGTCCGAACTTTGTTCATCAGAGTTGCAACTTGAATTCTCATTTTCATTACTCCAGGTTGGGTCTTCTTCAGAGTTCGACTCTGCTAATGTGGAGGCCACAATGGAGACGTCGTCAACCTGAGCCGTCTGACTATTCGATTTGCTGCTGCAAATGACAGTTATTAGGCAGGATATTCACCTCGCTTCATTATAAACAGGCTTACGGTGGCACATATTCAGCCTGCGCAGTCTTGTACACTTGCAGCGGTGCTTCGTTACTCTCAGTATTTTCTCTGCTTGGCGGATCTTCCCTGAAATGGGTTGTAAAAATGAAAACAGGCAGAATATCAGACATTTACTATAGAAGACGACACCTCTGTATGTAGCTTGCATTAGCATTCCATTTTTATCTGAACTTCGTGACCAAAACTCGCTTTTGCTTAGAAAGGCAGCTCCGGGGAAAAGATCGGTTTTTGGGATTTTGTGCTTACTCTAGCCTATGCGCTCTGCTAAATCTGAAAACTCACACTAGAGAGCGCGAGAACGACAAAAAAGGAGCTCTGGCGCAGGAGGGAAATTGACAGAGGGCGGGGTCCCACGGTGAATTCACGCTCCCAGCTTCCGGAGCGATCTTCTGAATTCTGCGAGCCGCCCTGACATCGCCACTGGCCAAATGCGAACGCGTGACTTGAAACTGGAACCGGCAAGATCGTCCCGAAAGAACGGGGTCATCCTCATAGTGGGGAAGACCCGAACACCTGCTGATTTCTCTCCTTCGTTGAAGCTCTTTTCTATCGTTTTCGCGCTCTAGTGTGGATTTTCAGAATCAGTTTAGTGAATAGGTGGGCAAGCAAAAAATCTCGAAATTAACCGATGATGTCGCGGGAATTTCAAAAAAGGAAACTTTGTAGAATTCCAATAAACCAAAGGTTTTATGATTTTAATGAAGCAAAGCGCACTTTTGGAGTTTCTGACAAATAAGTTGCACGAATCATTTCTTTGTTTCGAAAAACTGCTTCAAATATATTTTTAAGATTGGAAAAAGAACTTCGACGAGAACTTGCCATCAGGAATCAGAACTTTATAGTGGACTATTGACCCATTGATTTATGGAAAGGGCACGAGCTGTGTTCCCATCAATGAAAATTTAACATTATTGTACATCACTTTCGGATGAGTGTGTCCCAGTAGAAGAAACAGGAAAAAGCAACAAACTCTACTAAGAGCATTACTGACAAAGTCTTTCGCTTTTTAGAGAGTTAAAAAAATTTATAGCTTTGGTTGGATAAGTTGGTCACATTTTGGCTGCTAGAAAAAGAATGAATATGAAATGCAATATGAAAGTGCATGATAAAAGATAGCAGCTCAATGAAATTTCCATAGGGATGTGAAATCTTCCAAAATAAAGAAAAAAGTGAGTAAAAAAACGTGCGCCTATCAATGTAATTCCAGCAAATCTGTTTGCCTCAGCAATGACCAAGTTATAACTTTAATGATCTGTCGGCACGCAGCTAAGCTCCGCCTGCTGCTCTCCCGTTAGCTGGCCGAGAAGGTCAGATAGGAGCCAGTGACCCCCTACGACCGCGCACCGTAAGGCTGCTTAGTCAGTCCTCTCCCTTCCCCTTTCTTGTAATATATGTAGATAATAAATATATATAATACCAACCTGTACCGCTACACATCAGGTAAGGGAATCGCGAACCCTTAATCCTGACAGATCTACGATAATGTATCAGATCATTCCGAAAGTAATTTCGTTTTTTTCAAACGGGCGCCACATTTGATAGAACAAAGGTTTTTTAGAGATCTTGGATGCATTCGATGCAGAATTTCATTCTCTTTCTAATGGTCATGAAATAGTTGCAAAACAATCAATGAGCTTTCAGAAAATAACCAAAATTTGCGACCCATGCTTTTTTTGATAGTCAAGTTCCACGATTTTTCAAAACTTTCATATCAATCTTTAGAAGGATTTTAAGCAACGATTCGATAGAGTAGACCTTATAGAATACAGAACTGCTTTTTCCCCTTTTCATATCTTGTCATACATTTTTAACAGAATTTTAACTCATGCTACCGATTTCCATACTTGGGCAGCTAAATCCTCGTAGAACATCAAAAGAAGAGCAGCTCGCGCATTATTCGATGCAGCATTTTCTCCTCTTTCTAACAGGTGTTTTTCGTTCTCGATTCGATTTTTACTCGATTTTTTTACATTCTATATCCCTATCTAAAACCGTATGTAATGTGTTAATATGGAAAAAAAGTATAGAACTCTTGAAAGGAATGATTCTTGGTAACTATGGCCACCCGTGGTAGGAATTATGGGACCAGACGTGGCTCAAAACGCCGATTGCAAATCTGCTTTCGCTACCTAACGATTGCCAGAAATAAGTTACAACTTTTTTGAGCAAAACTGCGACACTTAAATTTCTTGTTTCGCTCCTCTGACAAGGGAATGGTCAGAAATCGAAGTGGCCAATCCATACAAGCTGCATACCATTCGATGCAGCGTTGAATGCTGATTTCAAATTGTCTTCCATAACTGCAGAGCGCCTTTGTAGGCAAAGTATGAGCACCTTAACTGCGAAAATATCGTACATAAAAATTGCGAAATTACGCACATTATTGCTCTTTCAGCTCGCCTCTAGGTACGGGTCATATGACTGACCTAGCTGCATGTTTTGGTCCAACACTGAGCCGGGAATGGCTTTGTACGGCTAAGTTTGCGCTTCACACGCACAATTTCTTAGCAAAATAATGGCTTTCAACGGCTTATAATTTCGTTCACAAAAGCGCTCTGCAGATAAGGAAGACAGATTTAGAGTCAGCGTTTTATGCTGCATCTAATGGTATGCAGCTTGTCTGGATTGGCCACTTCGACTTCTGACCATTCCCTTGTGAGCAACATTCGAAGAAGAGCGCAACTGCAGTACCGCTCACAAAATGTGCAAAATTTCTGTGAATGTCGCAGTCAGCGACATTCTCGGAATTCCGCGATATTCTGGGAATTTTGCGAAATTACTGGAATTTCGCGGAATCACCCGAATTACGCAAATTACACAGCGCCATATCTTCCTTTAAAATAAACATATTCTGAATTCGAGAAAAACCATTGGGTTATTTTGTCAAGGCGAATCTTTTGATGTACATCATGTCTCCAATACTCCGTTTCCAGTTTTCTAAGCTAAGCAAGTGTGATTTTTGTGATCAGCAGGTTGGATAACCTCCATGGGCAAGTTTTCCGAGATGTTCGGTTTATTTCATTTTTTCTCGTTTTCGCTCTTAAAGCTCGTCGATGGAATTTGATCCGAATGTTGAAGATCTTGGATTGTAAGGACTTCGCTCATAGAGGTTTCCGGAAATGCTGTTTACGAAAATCATGGTCTTTGAAGAATACAGGGCCTTTTGAAGAAATATGATGAGGTAACTGTAAATTCACGAATGTTCGTAACATTGCCTACACTTCTGCATGTCTCTCAAAATACTTGCCTGCTTGAGGTTATTACTGAATAGGGAGCAATTCCAACTTAAGGTGGCGAATTGAAATGAACCGCATGTCATTAGGTGCGGCTTGATGAGCTGATTCCAAATCTTTCACATCTGCAATGCCGTTTTCTGGAAAAAGTTATAAGCGGTTAGATGTCCGAATTTGGCAACGATTTAGCGCCGCATCTTCGGGAATTAATTGTTCAAAAACACTTATCTGTGTCTCCGGCGTATGTGAGTTAGAGTTACTAGGAACCGTGCTATTGAACGGTGCGTGTCTCAGGCTCTAGTCTACGAAATTCGATGAGTTAGAGCCTATGAAAACATGTCCTCATGCATTTTTCTTAGAATGTAAAGATCGCATACTTCGTTGAAATTTCACCTTCAGTGGTTGTATAATATGGTTTTCTGATTGCAAATATTAGGTTCACTTCACCCTGTGTCGAATATGGTGGTTACGGGTGCTTCAGCTGCTTAATTGAATATCAAAGCAGTTTCGTAGCTGGAGCTCAGATTTATTTGACTATCAAATCCAACACACGAAGATCCATTAAGCGATGTGAACGGATTTGATCAGCGTGTTATAACCACTGGTGGTGGAATTTTGGCGAGGTATGCGATATGAGGATGTGTTTTTCTAGGCTCGCAACTCGGGCATTTCTATAAACTGGAAATTGAGACATGCACCTTCCAATGGCACAGTCACTAGTAACTTTGAAGGCAGCGTCCGGGCAGAATGGATATTTTCGGGTATTATCATGACCGAGCACTAGGGCCTCATTCCAGGACTATCGCGCAAATCGACTTTTAAACACCCTCTAAAAGGAGGAAATCGAAGCAGAAAACGTCAAGCCTCTAGGACCACACCCACTTCCTCGCACGGCCTGCCCCCCCCCCCTGAACGAACTCTTCTGACCTTGACGTGTTTTCACATGGCAAACGCAATCGAACACCTGTCAGTGCTTGCCACTAGTGCACGGTTTCACAAAATTGTCTCAAAAAAGGGGGTTTTTGAGGAATTCACGCATTTTGAGTGCCAATCTGGAATTAGCGCTATATAATGGCTTGGGTAAGTCAAAAAAATAGAGGTCGAGATTTTGCCTGGACGCTGCCTTTAACCATCGAAGCGAGCAGGCAAGTATCCTGACATTTTCGTAAACAGCATGTCGGAAAACCTCTAGAAGCGAAGTTTCCTTACAAATCAAGATCGTCAACAATTTGACCAAAATTCATCGGCGAGCTTCAGAGCGTAAAACGAGAAGTTGTATAACCCGAACATCTCGAAAAACTTGCTCATAGAGGTTATCCGATCTGCTGATCGCGAAAATCACAACCCTAGCGATGAATCTTGAGAAAGCTTTGAATTTCAAGGTTATGGCGAGTAAATTACAACGACATGATTTTCCCAAAATTGATCAGCCCTTATTTCCTTCAGAAAGAAGTCTGCGACTACTTTTCAGCGCTCCAATCTACAGAAGAAGTACTATCGAAAGGTCATGCACGAATCTACCAGGGGCAATGCGCGCTGCTTTACATCTTTGCGAAGAGACGTCCGCAGAGGAATTGAAGAATTCTGAAATCAGAGTATCAAGGATATGCTGTTAATCAAAAGATTCGCCTTGACGAGCTGAACGCAATGCTTTTTTCGGATTCAGAATATGTTTGTCCCGAGAGTTGTGCATAGCTTGCGTGATTCGCGTGATTCCGCGAAAATTTCGCGGAATTGCGAGAATGTCGCGGACTTCCGCAGAATTTCCGGAACCCCGTGACATTCGCGGAAACCTGGCACATTCTGAGAGCGGTATTGTACTTTGAGCTTGGATAACATGTCTCATTCGCACTTATCAAACGATAACAGTGATTCTG